CTCCTCCCGGGCCCCGCCAGCCGACATTCTCTCGCTGACGGGGTCCGCAACATGCCCTCTCTGCCTGTCTGGGTGGGACCGTTTGATGTAATGGGGGTGAGACGGTCCCTCAGGTAACCTGGACCCATGCCATGTAGGGCTTTAAAGGTGATAACCAACACCTTGAATTAGACCCAGAAGGAAACTGGGACCCAGTGTAGCTCACGCAGCAAAGGTGTGACATGTGCCATCTTTGGGGCACCCCCAATTGCCCATGCGGCTGCATTTTGAACCAGCTGTAGCTTCCGGATATTCTTCAAGGGTAGCCCCATGTAGAGTGTATTGCAGTAATCTAACCGAGAGATGACCAGGGCGTGAATGACTGACTGGAGAGCCTCCTGATCCAGGAAAGGGTGTAACTGGCGCACCACATGTAGCTGGTGATTCCACACAGCCTTGCTCTCAACGCTATGGTGGAATCACAGCTGCACAGCTGCAACCTGATTAAAGAGAAGTTAATCCATTCATCACATGGGCTTCCATTGGTTTATTTTGGGATTAAGTTCAAAAATGGTTTCTCTAGCCAAGGCAGTGGGTTTCTTCATTCTTTGACGATGCGCAAGAGTGTAGGAGCGCACGGCATCGTAGAGGCTCTGCCTCGTGCAGGAAGAATAAGAAATAAAGAGGATTGCTTCTTTCAAAATGATGCTCATTGGCATATTTTTTAAAAAATATTTGAATTGAACAGATTGCTCTGCTAAACCATGCAGCCCTGGGACAGAGAACAAGGGAAGGGGAGTAAGGCGAATGTGTGAATGGTTGCCTAGCAACCACTGCAGCCTTCTCCCTTTTGCATCTCCCAGGAAGAGGAATGCTCTGGTTGCCTAGCAACCTGCCATTCCTGCCATCTCTTCTCCCCTGCAAAGCTTTCCAGCCTCCCCCTTCTTGTACCACACATTAAAACAGCAGAAAGGAGGCCAGAACACCCACCTGATTATTTATTTTTAAGTGTTTTCCCCAAGAAGCAGATTTACAGGCAGGCAGGCTGACTGTGCAGGGTGAAGGCATTCTTTTAAAATTCTGCACACTGTTTCTTCTTCACAGGATTGTGGAGAGGGGATTCTACAGTGAAAGGGATGCGGCCCACGTGGTGAAACAGATCCTGGAAGCTGTCTCCGTAAGCCGTTTGAATGTTTCCTTCCCTTTTCTGGGCCCTGTGGCCTTGCATCTGTTCCGGAGGGTAGGATCTTCATGGCCAAGGAAACAAAAATCTAAATTCTGCCACCCTTCAAAGGCACCTTTTCTGCAACTGGAATTTCGTAGGCAGATGTGCAATTGAGGTCTCTGCTTGCGTGGCATTCCTGCTTCCTGTGGACCTGCGTAAGAGGGCCCCAGCCTCCCATCACCCTGATGGTGGTGGGCCCACGCAAATGCACACGTGTGACTTCATTTTTTCAATGATCATTATCTCTGAAAACTTCTCTTGTCAAATCTCTGAAATCTGCAGACTCTGAAATTAACCTGGGCACTAGCAGTTTCCGTAGGTAATAACAAAAAAAAACAACAACCACAATTTATTAAACTTGTATGTTGCCCGACTCTCAACAACTCTGGGCAACTCACAACAATCAACAAAGAAATTGCAATCGAATCAATGAAAGATAAATATAAAAGATAGCAAGTGTGAGGAAGTGAGGGGACTTGCTTCCTCTCACCAAAGGCCTGGGTGTGATGGAATGGTTTGATGAAGGCCGCGCTCAGGGAGATAAGCATTTCCTTAGCCCCCAACAGGAGC